ACTAACTTTTTTTTATTCGTCTATCGATTTTGTTATTTTGCAATAAATAAATAATAATAAATCAAAAAAAAAAAAAAAAAAATTTCTCTCCATCGGAATTAAAAAAGTAATAAAAAGTTTATAACCCCGGAAGCAGATAAAAATTATAATTAAATAATAATAATAATAATAATAATATTTATGTGTTGCATCCGATGTTAATTATCAAATAAAAAATTTTTTTTTTTTATACGAGATTTAAATCGAATAAAAATCAATGAAATGGCAAAAAATAAAATTTATTTTTTATTATTAAATAATAATAATGAAAAATCTCATGGATTTAATAATAATATTATCATTCTCAAAAGGAACCATAATCTCTAAAAATTTTTTATCGAATTTTTTAAAAATTTCTAACATAAAAAGTAGTCCCACATGCAATCCGAATAAAATTTTTTTTTTTTTGATTCCGTCATTTATGACGTCAGTTATGTAATTTTTTTCAAATAAAAATAACCGATGAATTTTAAATGATTAAAAAGATCCAGTATTAATTAAACAAAAAATTATCTTTTAATTTTATTAATAAATAAATTATAGTAATTTGTGATAAGAAAATTATTTTCAAATTAATTATATAACGATAAAAAAGAATTAAATTGAAACGTTCAACGAGGTATGTCGAGAAATCCAAAATGTACTAAATTTAATTTTTTTGTTTCTAACAATAACATATATATATAATTAACATTTTAAAAATTCTTATTTAATACTATATATGTATGTCAGAGTAATAATTAATTTAGTTTTTATGTTAACAAACAAACATGTTTTTTTCTTTGATGTTGAAGTAATTTAGCTTTAGAAGCATATTGTTTGTAACACCATTTGCATTCTTGGGGGGCAGTTTTCACGTTTCCAACCATAAGTGAAAAAGTTGAATTTAATACGCCGGGTATTTCAGGAACGCCACCCTTAAAAAAAAAAAAAAAAATTAATTTACAATATTTATTATTGAATACTCATAACAAAAAAATTATTAAAAAATCTCTTAAAAAAAAACCTTTTGACGATTGCTCATAGGTAATTCCGCTCCAGGATGATTTTTTAATATATGAGCTTTTCTCTTTGAACTGCTCTTGTAAATCTAATAAAAAATAAAATGGGAAGATTTTACAATTTTTACAAACTTTAAGAAAAAAAAAAAAAAATTTTTCATACTACTTAAATATTCCATATTATCACTTACTTTTTCACAATACTGACAAAAATAATCTCTTGTAGCTTTTAATATGGGTAAATTAAGTTCAGGTACCGTATTTGGAAGGATTTCGGGATGTCTTTTGGCCAAATGATTGACAAGCATCCCTCTTCTTTTAAAACCCACCATACAATTTCTACATTTAAACATGAATCGTTCAAACGTCACGGATGATACCTTTAAAAAAAAAAAAAAAAAAAAAACAATTCAAAAATCTCTTAACTTGATTCTTTAATAATAATAATAATAATAACAAAGTTTACCATTTCGGAAGAAAATTTTCTTTCTTTTTTATTGAGGATTCTCAATGCCAAAGATCCAGTTTTTAATTCTCTTTCGGCGGAATGCATACGTTTCATGTGTTCCTTTAATTTATCTTTACGTTTAAATTGTTTTCCACAATTGGCACATAAAAATTCTCTTACATCAGAATGCCTGACACACAGATTAAAAATATAACAAATAAATATCATATACATATATATATATGTGTGTGTCAATAAAATAAACTGTTTAACAAATTCAAATCGTAACTAATCATTTTTTTTTTTTTTTTTTTTTTTTTTTACATTAAAAAGAAGTAAAATAAATGCAACACTATGGAACATTAGTGCAGTTTAGACCCTCCTAGACCGGAGAAGAAAAAAGAAATTAGTAATGAATGGTATGTATACAATCAAAAAAAATGAAATAAAAGACAAAGCGAGCGTTAATGACGACGGCACTGTTGAAAAATATATGGAATCTTTATAATAAAATTTTATTTTAAATGCAGGGATGAAGATAGAAGAAAAGTACAAATAAATCGTTTTGTACGGAACATCCCAAATTCTTCAAGAATATCGCCACCGACGCTATTCAAGCATTCGTACCCGCTACCGACAACTTTTACAAAGGTAAGTTTTATTATTAATTTTTTTTCCTTATTAACAAATTTTATTATTATTTTTATTCGATCTCAGTACTCGCTCCGCTTTCTCTGAACTTTTAATATTCTAACAACAAATTTTTTATTTCGTCATTTTTAAGCATAAGAATAACAAAGACTAAATGAAGTTTATTTATTGAAATCATAATTTCCACAATTTGAGAAACAAATCGCACTAAATTTTTAGAAGTAAAAAAAACTTGGCATTACTTTAAGCAACTGCTTTAAAATTCATACACACACACACACACACACACACACACACACACAGACATAATATACAGTTTTTTTTTTATTTTATTTTTTACCTCAAAGAATGTATTCGAAGTTTATCTAGGGTAAAAAATAATTTCCCACATTCTGTACATATATGACGTTTTTCACTGTGAGAGGTCCTCAAATGTTTTCGAATAGATATATAATCATTAAAAATCTGAAAAAAAAAAAAAAAAAAATTTTAAGTATCCAAAAAACAAGCAATGTGACTTTCTTTTAAATTCATACTTTTATTTCTAGTTTCTTTTATTTTACAATAATTAATTTTTCACCTACAAGTTGTGATATCAAAGTATAACTATAAAAAAAAAAAAAAAAAATTATTATCACTACCTTGTAGCAATTCGGGCAGGTATAGGAACCATTTGTTGAGTGAACTTTAAAATGTTTTTTTAAATCCAATACATTTTTAAATTCGTTTTTACAAATAGGACAATTGACAGACTTATTATCTACAACAACAACAAAAAAAAAAGAGAGAAAACCTCAATTAAATGTTTTCATTTTGTAAATTTTGAATAATAAAAAAAAAAAACAAACCATCATGTGTTTTAGAATGACAAGTCAATGCAGATTTATTTAAAAAACGTTTCAAACATGTTTCACACTGATATGGTTTTATTTCATCAGATCCATGCACAAGCTTGTGTTTCTAGAAATAAATATTAATAAATGTCAAAATATTTTCATTATTTAATTAAATTCAATTAATAACAATTTTATAACCTGCAACCTCAAATCAGAAGCAAAACATTTGTAACATCTGTCACATTTATAAGACTTTGACTCATCTTTTTCTGCTGTCATTTTCAACCAAGCCTTAAAACAATTAAAGGCTTATTTTCTATAGTAAATTTGAAATTGTAAAAAATTACAATAATTAATAATATTAATTACAATTATTATTTTAGTATTTAATTTATTCTAACTATTTGAATTATTATTATATTTAATATTACAATAATGGTACCTTTTCCATTGAAAAATTTGTACAATTTTAAATAAAAAACCTAAAACAAACATTTACTTAATGTAATTTCACGATAAGATATACATGAAGGCATTCAAAATTGATTTTTATTAAACATTTTCAATGTAATTTGAAAAAAATAAATTAATGATCTAAAAAAAAATCATCAAAAATATAAAAAACAAAACATTAACTACATATATGAGGCAAAAATGATAAAAACATATTTAATTTTATGTTAAAATTTAATAAAATGCCAATGAAAAAAGTAGTAAAAGCTTAGTTTTTAAAGTAAAAATTTTACTCTAAAAAGTGTCGTAACACATAAATTAAAAAAAAAAAAAAAATTAGGAATGTTTATTTCATTTAAAAAAGAAAAACATTTTTACTGTATTTATTTAGTTTTTAAATAATTAAGCACAAATTACACTTCTATCATAAAACTATATAAGTAATAAAGTATATTTAATTTAGCACCAATGAGAAAAATATTTTCTTTCATAATCAAAATAATAACAGCTTCTTAAAACAGTTTAATTTTTTACATTCGTACATTTTAGCGAAAAATTTATATTTAATATTAGTGACAATAAATACATCCGATATATGACTGACAGTTAAATAAAATGTTAAAAAACCAAATGAAGAAAAGGTACCTTATTTAAATTTATTTCACCTTTATCATTATTAAAGTAAACGTTATTCAAATCATTTATTTTTTATTTAACACATTATTTGATTTCATCATTTTTTTTATTTTAATACATGAATATAATACATGGAAGTAGCATTTGACAAAAGTAAAATTTTTGAAAGCCATATAAAAATTTATGTTATTTAAAATAAAGAAAATAAATTACTTTCAACACAAAATATAAGTGAGTATCACCATTTAATGTTAAAGTACATTCTTTTCTATTTTCTATAATAAATAGAAAAACCTTTGAGTTTTTATATACTTATTTAAATGCGAAACATGATGTATGATCGTAATTTTACTGAGAAGCCGTACAATTACTTGATTGTACAAAACTAAAAAATCTCATATTTAACACCTTGTAATTAAAAATTAACAAAACTTAACATTCAAATTCATAAACGTAAGTCACAATAACACGTTTAAAGCGGAGCAAAAGTTGCCAAAAATTTTGAATGGCAGCAAAAACATTTGTACAAGTCAATTTTTCACAATTGTTTTCTATAAGTTGTTTTTAAAAATCTTTTATTTGTTGTATTAATTTAATTTTCATCGTGTTTGTTGAAGTTAAGGTACCCGTGTTTTTTATTATTTTTTACTTATTTTAAGTTATACGCAAAAATGGTTGATTGTCATGAGCTTATTTAAAAAAATTTTTATTTAGCAAAGAACTCTTTTTTAAAAATTAATATTAATTTTTTTCAAGTGTACTATGTTATAGGTTTAAAATAGTAATTACGCGTCTTAAAATTGATATTTAGATTTAAAAAATTAAACGGGAAAAGAAAACTTCTCAAAAACCTTAATACTTTGGTGAAAATAATATTAATATTAAAAAAAAATTAATTAGTTAAATTGTTTGGTGTAAGTGTGTGTGTGTGTAACTGACTCTTTATTTTACAACAAATTTTTGAATTTTAAAGCTTTTTTTTAGTAAGTAAGAATTAAAAAGAAGGTTCATATTGCTTAACATAAAACTTAATGAAGTGTTTTCATTAATTATTTTATTTATTTTAATTAAAATCATATGTACTTAACATGCTACAAACAAATAATTCATAACTTCAAATTCAAAAGTTTGGAAATTTTTAATTTAGATTTATTATTTGTACTTTGCCAAAGGACCACAGAGCCATCATTAAAACTGGCAATTAAAAATTGAGAATCATAGGAATAGGTCACACATGTTATTGGTTGAGTCATTGAAGGAATAAATATATCACAAAGTTTTGTTAAATCCCAGGTACTAAATATTCTAATAACACCATTTTTGAGTCCGCAAGCTATGACATTGATTGAAGTACCCTCTGGTGATGATGAAAAACAAACACAAGAAATTGATTCTTTGACTGTTGTCGAATTGACAAAATTTCCATTTACAGTGAATAAATATAACATGTTTGCATGTGAGTTTTTATTGGACTCGACAACAGCTGCAATATCTCCTAAGGTATTACTTATTACTGCCATATTAACTATCCCTTGACTTAAATCTATACTTCTAACATAAGAAATTTGATTTAAATCCCATATTATTATAATTCCATCCAAACCAGATGTTGCAACTAGACTATATGCTCTAGAAATAGCTATGTGTGTAACTGATTTCTTATGACCTTGTAACGCTATCGGAAGGTCATCAAACTTCACGTGATCTTGATCACTTGCAAATTTAAATTTGTAAACTGTTATATTGCCTGATGAATGTCCCATCCATAAATTATTGCATCCTAATTCGCTCGCGCATATGGTCACAGGATCCAATAGAGAAATTGTATACAATGGTAGCATGGGTGATTCATTTTTTAATTTTATTCTTATAATGCCATCGGAGTATCCCCAAGAAATTAAAGCAATTCTGCATCCGTTAAAATTCCAACCTTCTTTATTCTTACTGAGATGTAAAAGGCATGTTGTGTTATCTGGAATTCCAATAATATCATTTGTTGGAAGAGGCGCGAGATAAGATATTATTTCCTTAGTATTACTCGGTTGTCTAAATAATATCACAGGCTCGGATTCGTTGGGAGATCCTGGAAAATATCCCCATTTTAAGCCTTTGACTTCTTTATAATTATATCCGTAAGAATACGCATTAGTTAAATGTGGCAATGATAAATGCGAGATCGAATCTGAATTTTGTAAACTACGAATGGGCATTGGATGTGGAGTTTTGAAAAGTTGTTTGGGTGTTTGACCGTAGGTTTTCACCATGGTTTCCCATGCTATGCGTTCCACGGGATCAGTTATTGCTTCTAAATCGAAACCCGAATAAGTTGCCGGATGGAAAACATTTATTGCATCAACGGCTGCTTTTCCGGTCTGTTTAAAACCGAAAACGAGATCAATCCACCGCGGAAGATTTTCCGTAACGTAATTTGATTCTAAAGCTTGTCTATGAATTAAAATAAATTTTCTCGGATCTCCTTTGCACCACGGAGGAAGGAAAACGTTATTTACGACTTCCCCGTTTTGCCTAATACCAAAATTGAACCCCTGAGAATTAATTAAAAATTCAGGGAGAAAAAAAAATTCTGGAGTCAATTCTTTCACATCCGTTGTCGATTCCGAACTGGCCAATCGCCATGTCGTGTGCAAGGAGTGAAACGTTCTGTCTGGGAGGTCGAAATTACGATCTTGGTAATGCAGTAACATTTTCGTAAAAGGAGGGAGCCTGACGAGAAAATGTAAGACCGTGCCAGAATTTGAATAATGAGAGCCGTAATGATAAGGTTCCTTGTTTAAAGTTGCCTGTTTCACTCCTCCAAGAAGCTCATTGTAGTTGTTTACGTAATGCAATTCGTTTTTTTTTTCTTGCACTGCCATCGGTTTTTCTAAAGCTCTGTATATATTCTTTTGATTGAGATCGAGGGTTGAACTTGTGTAATCAGAAAGTACGAATGGATACACGGGATATTGCATGAGATCATTATATGTTCTTCCGGCGATCTTATTTAAAAAAGTAAGATATTCCCAATTCGTTATCAGACCTTCCCTCCACATTTGCATTGTTTCGCTCAAATTATCTCCGATCACTTTGTTAGGAAGATCACAAGTTGAGATAACATCTAAAAAAGTGTTTCTCTCTTTTGATGTTTTAAGAGCTATGAAATAAGTGTTACCGTTTTGAAGAAATATTTCGATACCCCTTTCCTGCAATTCATATCGTCGACTATGAATTTCTGTGATGTCTTCAAATGGCCAAACCGTGTTGAGAACATTAATCGTTTGAAATTTATGATCGTTATCGGGTACAAAGTAAATACATGTTTCACCGATAAGGAGTTCTCCCGAAATTTCAATGGCAGGAGTTATAATGTTTGCCGAAAACATATTTTTAATTTTTTCGTTACAGTGAAGCCTTTCGATTAAAACCATTGATTGATAATTTTTTGCCTGTTCTTTAAATAAAAATTCTAGCGGTTGTGAAAATTTTTCGTAACTCAATTTATGTCGTTCCGCAGGTAATAAATATTTTTCATCTAATTTTAAATGACATCTCATTAACCGTTTTCTAACTCTTGACGGTCCCTCGGTCGGATCCAATTGCCAAAATGCGGGATAAGATTTTGGAAAATGCCACACGGCTTTTTCATGAGACAACCTTTCGATTAATTTTTTCCATTTTAATATTACATTAACATTATCTATGCAATAATGTTTTATCTCTTCAATGAATGATTTCCTTACAACGTTTTGAAAATCGACCACCGTTCGAGTCATGGTATCCGCATCTTGAATCAAAGACCTAACTAAAAAATTATGTTTTCCCATGCATTTATAAGCCTTCATTTTAATTTGTTTTTCCCACAATAATCCACGTTTTGTATTTTCGCTTAATAACGAGTTACAACTTTCTTTCCAAAAATTTTCGCTGCTTTCGATCAAATGCGGTGAAATAACTCCTCTTTCTCTCATCCATTCAATTATTTGCTGGCAATTTTTAACATCTCCACTTAATAAATCGCTTTTATGCATTAAATCCCAAATGAAAACGGTGAATTTCAATTCTGCTTGTCCGGATGTTTGTAATAATACGGATATGAGGTTCTTACAAGATGGCTGAGAAATTAAAGTTGTTAAAGCAAACATTCTAATTTTTAATGCTTGCTGCGGTGACAAAAGCCAAAGTATTAGTTCGAAAGCTTCAGTTTTAAGAGTTTCTCCAATTGCATGATATATTTCGTGATACATTCGACAGCGGATTTGAGTTTGCCTTTCCGAACAAGATAATATTTGCAATAACATTGGTAATAAATGGTATAAAAAACTTAATTCGATGTCACTCAACGATAAACTCGAACATTCGGCAATATCTAAAAATTAAAATTAAATTATTATTTTTACTAGTTACCGAGCATAATTAGGTTTTTTTTTTTTGTATACGATAAGACAATTGATAGCCTACTCGAAAAAATTAAAAATTCTATAGAACTTTCAATAAGAATTCTAAATCGTTCGCTTAATTCGTTTTTTGATATTTCTCTCACGGAACCATGGGAAGAAGATAATATTTTACTCGAATTATTAATTGAACTTGAATTTTGTTCCAGCTCCGATCCGGAAGAATCATTCGTATTACCGATCCACACTTAGAAATAAAAAAAACAAAAAAATTATTATTGTAATAATAATTTTTTCAAAAAAATTAAATTTTCGTTAATAATACAACCTGAAAAATTAGAAGGCCTCGATTTTTTGAAAAGTTGCAGGGAGCCAATTAAATTTCTTAAAGTTTCTATAGTTTTTTCAAGTATTTTACACCAAGTGTCTCGAATTATTTTTACACACAATGATTGTGGTCCACACTTTTTTTTTTCCACACATAATGCGTAGTTTAATTGGAATCGAACATCTGAAAAAATCTGTCGACAAAACTAATTTTATTTATTGTATCACAAAAAAAAAGAAACAATTATTGATTTATCCATTTTAGAAAATTATATCTTATTTGATTCTTTATGAATTTTAGATTTAAAAATACAATTTAAAAACCTTTTACCTGCAAAAATGTCATTCCGGAAGTAATTAAACTTTGGTTTATTATATATGCAAAAAAATGAAACAAATTCGAAGTAAGAATATTTTGTCTACCGTTGATACAATCAAAATGAGCTGAGCAAACCAAAGTCTTTATAATAATTTCCAATAATCCAATTTCTAATAGAAAAGCAGACGTTTCATTATCCTGAAATAATTTTTTATAAATTTATTGATATCATAAAGTTTAGTGCTTTTTACTCAAGAGCTCAACAACAAATTTAAATAATTTTTATTATTGTTCAGATACTTGTTAAGGCGTGTAAAAATACATCAAGTTTTGCGGTATAATTAGAAAAAAAAATACAGGCTGCAAAAAAATTTTTTTTTTCGTTCAAATAATTAAATAAAATTATTTAGCTATGAGATAAAAACCTTATTGAATAATTGTTGAATAATACTAATGAGATTTTGAGTCAATGTTGGATTGTGTACACTTCGAGGAATGAGTGCCAAAAGTGGAGGTAAAAAATTCATTCTGAACATTTTCAATTCGCATTTTGAAATAATTACGGGCTGATCCAGAGAAATGTAACGTTGAGCCAAAAGGTGTAAGCAATTTTCAGCTAATTCTTGAGATGCTGGAAACAGAGATATTTGGTTGGCCAAATGATAAAACCCTCTTTGCTTTATAAATCTGGATACATTTTCGTCGAGAGATCTTTCAAAATATGATGAAAAAACCTGAAAGAAATTTTTTTAAAAGAACCTTTTAAATTGTAAATGATTGTAAATTAAAAATATTTTTCCGTAACTTAAAATTAATTTTTTCCAACAAGAAATCTTAATTAAAAAATATATATATTTACTTTCACGACAGCCGATCGAATTTTTTCATTTTGATGATTTGCCATAACTAAAAGAATTTCCGGTTTTACAACATAATTTAAAACATGTTGTGCCATACTGTCGGGTAACACTAATATTGTATTTCTCAATAGTAAAAGGAGACCCTCGACAATAGTACACGTTGATTCAGAAATTTGATGGTTATTTTTTTCTTCCTTTAAAAAAAAATATTAATAATATTAACACAGGGCTTGAAAAAAATCAAATGACGATTCAATTTTAATATTGTCTATTTTTTTAAATTAAAATGTCAAATTTTACGAAGCTACTCGTGTTCATATTATTAAATTAAATTTTTTTCATTTCATTAGAAGAAAAGAAAATTATTTGTTTTGTATTTATTACCTTTGATTCCGACGGAGAACAATTTAACATATTTGGAAAAATTATTTTTGCGGGATTTCTATTTTCTAATTTTTTTGTCTTATTCAAATCAAAATTGGATAGTTCTCTATTTAACAGTCGATGAAGATCATATTTTAAAATATTACTTATATCTTCCTCTCTTTTTTCATTATTTATAGGATTTTCTGCAAAAAAAAAAAAAACGAATTTTCATGTTACAAGCATAAAACATTTCAATGATTAAACATTTTATCATTACGACGCATATAGATTTTTACAAAAAAAAAAAAATTTAAATATTATAAGATTTGAATTCGTATAAAATTATGATTTACATGACAGTTTAAAAATTTTATCTGGCAAACGATAAAAAATTATCTTGTTGGTTTTTAACCAACAAAAATAAGATAAAAATATTTTTCAATAATATGTCCTTATTATAACTTAATAAAAATAATAATTTATATTCGTTAATACCTGAGTTCCTCCCATAAGTTTGATTGAAAGAAATAAGAAAATAAAAAGAGGTTTTGTCGTTTGTTATGTAAGTAGAATCGACTGGATGTAATAAAATTAAACAATCCATTAAAGCCATTACGTGAGAAAGCTCTGGAGGTGCTCCCAATAGTGATTTTATCAATTCAACAAAAGAAATGCACGCCTTATTAGAAATCTTTTTATCTCCCAATAATATTCTTTCCTTTAAATTATAATAAACATTTTCAAATTTATTGGAAAAATTAAATTGTATTATTTATTTCTCTTTTATATTAAATAAAAAAATGGGTGAGACTAGTTAATATTTACTTTGCAAAAAGAAAGAAGGCACTGTATTAATTTCACCCGATTCAATTGCGCGACATTAAATTCTCTGTATGGGTGATCATCTCTAGTAAGTGCTAATAAAGCTGATAAAAATAATTCGAGAACTTCATTTTCTTGTAATTTAGAACTTAAATCCTTCCAGGAACTTAATATAGAAGCTATTAGAAAAGAATTAACGATAATTGAATCCATGTTATTAATTATGTGAAAGCCTCCATCGTGATTATCGATAATTGGTTTATCACAACCGGCTTCCATTATGGTCTGAAAATAAAAATCACAAACTAATAAAAAGTTTTTTTTTTTAAATTTGAGTTAAAGGTTTATTGTAAAAGACTAATTACTTTTAAGATGTGAAGTCCAGACAAAGATTTTGAAGCAGAAAAAATTTTATGTAACATGTAATGATGCTTATTATTAATAAATTGTGTGAACAAATCGCAATCAGTTTGAACAAACTTTAGTAATAAAAATAAAAATTTTGATTGTACTTCAGGATCATTCGTTATTTCGACAGCCTGCCATAAAAATAAAAATAAAATTTATTTAGAATTGATTCAAAAGGGAATCCTTTATGTTATTCCTTATAATATTGAATTATTTCCTATTTATAATTTCAAAGAGTTATTTAATAAAATCCACATTATAACTTATAAATTAAGAGATTTGAATGTAACAAGGGATATTAAAAAGTATAATTTTTCCAATTACTCTGCCTAATAAAAACATAAATGAAGCTGATCCTCCTTGAATAAAAGCGGATGGAACAAATCCTTGATGTTTATGAATATCGATTGGAACATTTATATTTGATAAAAGCGATATGGCCATTCTTTGATTTTCTTTCTTTTCCGATGATTTCAAACGAAATCCCGATAATAATAAAGAAGAACTATTATCTCCAACCTGAAAAATTAATATATATATATTGTATTGAAATGGAATAGTAATAAAACCAAATTCTAATTTTGTATTATTTGTGTCACCACAAGTAAAATAAATAAAATTAACCGGCGCTAATTTGTAAAAATGATGTGATTGTTTTTAAAAAAGTTAATATATTATTAATTAATTTTCCTTACCTGTGAATACACGGTGAAAATTTTCGGATTGTAAGCTGAGTACACTAAGAGTAAATGACTTTGAGCTTTTTTTATTACATCTTGATTTGAATTTAAAACTTCATCCCAATTAATATCACTAATGAGGGATTTTGCAGAAAATATTGAAGTTAAATTTAATCCTCGCCTAAGAAAAAATTTTAAAATTAACTTTTTTTATTTTGGATGTGTTAGCACTTTGAAAAAAATTCTTTTTGAACAAAGTTCTATTTCGCAGCTCTGGCTCTAATTTTATTACATTATTTTTTTAGTTATTGCACACGTAATAATAATTTTAATTATATAGTTAGTAATGGTAAATTTTTTTTTTTTTTGAAATTCAATCAAAACGGTCTTTGAGGGCTTTACTTCTTACTACTTACCGGCTTATTATGCAGTCAGTTAAGTTGGCACAATTCGGTCCCAAACCTAAGAAATAAACGGCGGTTTCCCTTGTGAAAACTGGACAAGTAAACAACATTAAAGATCCGAATGAAAAAACTCCTTGAGTATAATTACTTTCCATTCCTAGTAACACTGTCGAAAAAGGATGATTTTTTTTCAGCGATGGACCCGTGTGTGATAAAGAAACAACTATTTCGTTTCCTCCATTAATAATTAATGTAACCTTAATTAATAATAAACTTCATCGGTACTTTTACTCGAAATGGTTTTTTTATTTAAATTTAATCATACGAAAATAAAAACTTACGTCAACGACATTTTTTTTTTTTGAAAATGATGCTTTTATATTGAGTGCCAAATGATTCCAGATAAAAAGTGGCAAACAACGATTTGTATAATTTTCCGACAATATTTTATATTTTTTTTGATCGTCTAATTTAGTCAATCTCCAAATCAATAATTCCAAATCGGGTACACTCCAGCATTCCAATGTTAAACTATCATTTCCGATGGAGAAAATATGCAACAATTCTTGTGGAGAAATCTGCTGAGATTTTAACAGATTTTATATACCACCAAAGTAAATCATTTTATATGAATATATATATAAAAACTCACTGAGGAAGGTGAAAACTGAAAAAAATCATTTGAACAAAAATCGGATAATCCTGATAATCCTGCTGTACTGCACACAGATCCCAAAGATTCTGCTTTGAAAACTTTTACACTCGTTTTTTCAGTAGTTTTCGATTTGAAATTATTGTGATAACCACCATTAATTGATTTTTTTTCAATTTTGAGCCACAAAGACAATGAGAATCCCTGATTCCATACTGACCAATTTAACTCCGGGCCGATTGAAAGTGAAATTGCAAACAAACTCCAACTGGATATCATGCCTCATAAATTATTTAATTATTTAATTATTAATTAATTTTTTTTTTCATTTTTTTTCCCCCAAGTCTTTACTTATATTTACCTTCAGTTTTGTGTTGACTTCGAATTTTATTCTCAAAATTATTTGTATTACTTAATTTAAAATCGGTTGAGCGTTGCTTTCCAGGAAATCTAATTGTGTATATGGGTTGCGGATTGTATGACATGACCCAATTTAAAAGCGGATTAATAAGGTGTTCCTTAAATTTTTTTAAATTTAAAATTTAAAAATTTTGTTTTATTTAAAAAAAAAAAAGAAAAAAATTACAATATTTACCACTGGAGAATTATCGTATTTAAAATAACTGAAATAAATAAATAAATCTTCGGGTGTAAACGAATGTCTTCCCAAGATAGTAACTAATTCCAAAATTGCTGTTTGAAGCTCAGATAATTCATTTTTGTTATCCATAAAACATAATTCAAAACCGTAGAGAAGTTTTAATATTGTATTATTTTCGCATAAAATCCCGCAATTTTTCGGTTGATTTTTACACAATTGAGTTAATCTTTGTAAAACAAGTATTAGATTTGTTAAACATTTTTTTTCATAATTTTTTTCCTTTTTTTTAACCTCTTGAAAATCACACTTGGCCTTTCCAAATAAATTGTTTGTTTCGTAAATTTTTTCCAACATATCGTAATTATCTTCGGAAAATATCGAGGAATCCTTAAACATTTCATTGTTATTGACGATTTTTTTCCAAACTGTTTCGCTGGAATTCAATTCTGTATTTTTAATTTTTTCCAAAGAATTATTATCGATTGTTAACATTTGTTGGAAGGATTTTATCAGGATGTCGATTGCGAGTAAAGTCAATTTTGGAAATATTATAAGACATCCATTTTTTTGATCGTGTTTTTCAAAGATTGAATCTTTAATTGTCGATTGCGTTGATGAGTCGAAAGTTTGATAGCATGAGTTTGAATTTGTTAAATCATCTGAAAATTAATTTTTTTATTGTCTAAAATATTTAACTTCAATAAAATACTAATTTTAAAAATTATATTGTAAATTAAATGAAACTTAAAAATTTTATTTAAATTGGATGTCAAATTGAGGAGGATTATTTTTTTTTCTAAACAAATTACTTACAAATGAAAAAATTAAAATCGAATATTTGTTTCTATACCTGAATTTGAAAAATTTTCCCGAATTTCAACATCTGCTTCATATCCCTCGTCAGCAGTTACATAATACTCATCCAGTGATTCAGAATCAGTAAAAATTTTTTCATCATCTTCGACATCCAGAATATCCTCATTGTAATCATTCCAATCAGGCGTTATCGACAACTAATAAAATAATATATAATTTAATCTATTTACTTTTACGTCATCATTTTAATTTAACAATAATTTTTTTTTTTCTTTTAAATTCCTTTACTAAACATAATTTTCAATTATTTAAAAAAAAAAACTAATTCTATTATTTTTAAATTTTTTTGTTTGTTTATACCTTCGTATTTTTATAAGATGATGAATTCAAAAATAATCGATTTGGTTGACTTAACGAACATTTTATTAAAACTTCCGCCATTGTACGAACATGAAAATGTTGTAAATTATTTATCAATAAAAATTCTGAGAGTCCGTCTATAATTGATTCCGTTTCTTTTTTTTCTAAAATAAAAAACGTTTAAAGCCAAATTACTAAAATTATTCTCTACAGGATTTATACCATATAATTTACACATTTACAAAGCTGTTCATTCATATATATTTTACACTTACTGTTTTCTTCGTGAGAAATGGATAAAACAAAAGTCAGTAACGATTCAATTAATCTTATAAACAAAAAAATTTCTAATCGTTTTTTTCTATCCATTAATAAATTTTGATCTAAAAAAAAAAAACAAAAAACAATTCGATAAATAATTTGATTCTCATGCAAAAATAAATTTAATTAATTATTTAATTTTTTATCAATTGAAAAAGTTTCAAATTTAAAATAATCTGAAAAAATGAAGGAGGGAAAAAAATAATTTTAATGTTGTAATAAAAATAATTAAAAAATAATAAAAGGCTTTTGACAAGCGTGCATACCTGAATCAAATGTATTTGCTATTGATAATAAACTAATTTTTAATAACTTGTTGCAATCCATTAAAATATTTTCTTGTGAAAAATATTTTCGTAACGTTAAACTGTACATTGATAAATTTGAATAAGTTTTCCAATATGTAGATACATTTTCTAAAATATCAATTATTTGTTGAATATTTTCTTGTTTTTTTTTTCTTTTTTTTTGTGTTAGAGAAGCATTCAATACGTTCATTCCGTGAGATTCTTTTAAATCATTGAAGTAATTTAGTAGAACGGTGTTAGCAGAATTAACAATATTACGTAAAGATGCAAGTGGTGATAAATACTCGACTGTGATATTTGGTATCGTGACAATATGTAGAATTGTTTTTTCAAATACAGCACAACAGCTTTTTGTAAAAGAACGTACCGTTACTAATTCCAATACGTGATTTAATCCATTTTGATCAATAAATTTTCGAGCAAACAACACGTCATTTACAAGCAACGAGAACATTGACAAACTGGATAAAATTCTAAACGATGAAATTTCATCTTTTCTAACAAAAAATTCATCTTTGCTTATTAAAAATACTGGTAAAAATAAATTAAATAAAATTACATATTTGTTATTATCCGTCATTTTAATAGCACATTTTAAAAGATGATTCGAGACACCTTGAACTATTCGAATTTCGTTTGATAACAACAAACTTTGAAACAATTCTAATTTAGTCGACGGATTTTTATTTGTTTCATTGTAAAGTTCAAAAAAATAGTTTTCGCTGTTTGTGTTGGGACTTTGATAAAATTTAGGTGATGCGCTATTTTGATTTTTGTTCTTATTTTCTAAAATTGATTTTTTTTCTTCTAAAGAACGTTTGAAACAAATCAAACAAGTTAGTTTTTTATTTTGAGGAACCGAATAATATCCCAATTCTAAGTATAAAGTATTTTCCAGCAAATGAAAAACTAGTATTTTTAATTTCTGAGATGGTAATTTAATTAATTCTAGAATTATCTGAAGAAAATTTTTCATTGAGAAACAACAACAAGTTCCACACGAATTCATCACTCTAAGGATTTTTCCAATCACGTCTTCTGGTATTTCGTTCGGTTTACTTAAAATTCGAACCAAAACCTGAAAAAAATAAATAAATTTTGTATTTTTTTCAAGCCTTTTTTTTTTCTTCACATTTTAATTTATAAAAAATTAAAATAAATAATAATGACTTAAAATATATTTCAGATTACGCCACTGTTTCATTTACCCTCAGAAATTAGATTATTAGCATATTTAAAATGTTATCAAACTTTTTGAAGGATGTTGAATAAAAATAAAATTTTTTTTTTAAATTACCATATTAAAATTGGGGTGATCAACAAATGTGACAGTCAACCAACTAATTAATTAGAAAATTTAAACTTTTTTAATACGAAAATAAATTTTTAACCTACCAAAAATAAACTAGAAATGCAACAATTTTGTGGGTGGTTCGATCCAACAGCAGGAGCGGTAAAAACGATGCCAAATAAATCCTGATGGTGATAAAGAGTTTTTTCATTTTTATATTTTTTATGTTTTTGCTTTTTAAATGGTTCGGGACTTAAAATTTCTTTTCTCATTCTTTTAAGAGCAGAAATCAAATGACCAATCATTTCAATAACTTTCTTTGCTTTTATAATATTGTTACTTTTAATTAATGCAACAACTGTTTTCTCAATCAATTTCCCATTGTGACTTTCGATAAATATTTTGAATAGCTCTAAAAATTGGTTGACTCTTTCTTTTTCAAAACTTTGCATTAAAAGACTAAATAGAAAGTTAATAACACTTCTAATTAATTCAAATATTATCTGATGGTGTTTTCTATTTTCAAAACATTCATTTAAACTCTCCTGATTATCTGAAAAAAAATTAAAAAAAAAAAAAAAAAATTTTTTTTCAACCAAGTTAATTCTAAATGTAAAAGCTCTTAACATGCTTATCGAGTTTTTGTATTTAATTATATTGTTTTATTGTATTTACTAAATACTTTTTTATATAAAATAGAATTTTTTTTTTTTTTTTACCGATTGATGAATGCGATGTTGTTTTGCAAACTGAATCCTCCAATACTTTCAACATCATGGGCAAAGTTCCTATGACCAAAACATTTGTTGTTGTTTCCGTACAAGTCAGTGCCGTTTCTAATGATTTAATTAACAATTGCGTTAAACCTAATCTTAAATGTGTAATTTCTTGATAGTTCAACACTGGAGTATATAAAGAACCGAATTGAATAGAACATAAATTTTCCATTGCAAATTTTACACTTTTTAGACAAGAAAAAGATGATTGTCCTTAAAAAAAAAAAGTTGGAAATTCTGTTGATTTTTTAATAAATTAATTTTAATAATTTTTTTTAATATGACTAAAATTAAATTAGTAATCACATTAAAGTAATATTTCTGACCTGTACAGAAAATATCATTTCCGGATTTGCTTAATAATGTTGTTAGTTGAATAACTAATATGCTGAACTCATAAGGACTAACTTGGCTCTGCAACACATCTTTAAGAGTCTCGTCAAAAAAATTTATTGAAATTTTTTTTTTTAACCTATCAATTCCTTTTTGTGATAAACCACTTATATTTTCTAATTTTGATATTTCATCATCATCATCACCATCATTGTCGTTATGATCGCCTTTGTTTCCTTTATTACCAGCATAATCATCAATATCATCATCATCATCATTATAATCATTATCATCTTCATCTTCATCATCATCATCATCTTCATCATCATTATCGCCATCATCATCCGTACATAAAATACTGGTAAAATAATTAAAATTTACAGAATCTGATTTTATTTTTCCGATAACTGCTTTATCACATATATTTACATTATTATTTTGGTTTTCAGATTCGCTACTTTCGTATGAGTGAATTAATTGCGAATTCAATGGCTCCCGATTTATTTTTTTATTCCTAAAAATATTTGACGATAATATTATTAATTCATTATTTTTTCTTTAAATGAACATTTTGGAGAAGTAAAATTAAAATCAAATTTAAAGTAAATTAAAATTGTGCTTTTGCTTATAAAAGATTAAAATTTTAACTTCAACTTTTATCTTCAAAATTTACAAAATTGATATTTCTGCCAGAATTATCAATTTTTTTAAATATTAAGTTTCATGTTAGTTTTAGTACTATTTGTTTAATAGTCTTCTTATTAAAATAAGTTGCTTTCAATTAAGACAATTCAAAACAATTTTTGATGAATTAAAATTTAATAGACAATATCATCCATCTACCTGGTGTTATGCAGAATTGTTAATGATTTTATACCCTCGGGTTTGATGATTATCTGGTTGTGATTAGAAATAAATTTTGCACATGTTGGTGAAAAAGTAAACCATGAATT